CACACATCAATTGTGTAAAGCGCACATTTTCTTTACATGAAACTCTCTCTTATACATGAGTTGCTGAGGATTTGTTTCTCTAAAGTACCTAGACTAATACAGGCACAAATTGAAAGATGCAGGAAACATCAAAAGAAGATGGAACACATGCACAGAATCTCTGTGCCAAAAAGAACTTGTCAAAATTCCACCATTTCAAGAGGTAGCATATGAGCAAGAGCCAGTGGTACTGAAGGAAGAAGTTCAGGCTATACTGAAAGCAGTAGCCAAAAATGAGGCTGCAGAAATCGATGGAATGCCAATTGAAAAGCTTCAACAAGCTGATGAAGCACTGGAAGTACTCACTTGTCTATGCCAAGAATTGTGGAAGACAGCTACTTAGCCAATGACTGGAAGAGATCCATACTTGTACCCATTCCAAAGCAAGGTGATCAACAGAATGCTCAAAATATAGAACAATATCATTAATACCACATGCAAATAAAATTCTGAAGATCATTCAACAACGGTTGCCACAGGGCATTGACAAGGAACTGCCAGAGGTTTATGCCAGGTTCAGAAGAGGATGTGGAAAAAGTGTTATCATTGCTGATGCCAGATAGATCTTGGCTTAAGCAAAGAAAGATGATTACTTGTATTTTATTGACTATTACTTGTATTTTATTTGACTGTATAGATCATAGCAAACTATAGCCTTGAAAAGATGAATGGTCTATAAATATGAATGCACAGAGAGAGTTGGCAGAGGCTGTTTGTACAGATGTACATATACAGCATACAGGGGTTATTACAAAAACTCAACCATAACAAAACACCTTGAGGGAATGAGTCACTGGGCCGGGGGTTCAGGACCATAGTCTTGGCGGATATCAAGGTCAGTTGGCATAACAGTCCCCAAAGATAATGTTCTATGTTCAAGATTGGGTCTTAAAAACTTGTGAGTAGCCATCAGAAGTGAAATCATTGGCCTTTGTCTGGAGCAAGGAAGCGGGAAAAACAAAACCCAAAACAAATGGAAACATTTAGTCCAAAGGACTAATGCACCACTCGGATCCCAGCCTCCATGACTCCGAGATCAGAAGTAGTAGGTGGTGCCTGGCTATCACTGCCAACTCCTCTGAAAGTGACCACATTAGAAAGTCCTAGATAGAGTGCCCGGGGAGGGGTGGGTGGGATGTAGACGAAAAACGTGGATCGAAAATAAAGAAGAGATGACTGTTCTGCTAGAGATTGGTGGACTCCTCCAGATTGTGGCCCTTAGACACCCTTCAAGCACGGAGCTGAACTCAAGATCCACCCAACACACAGGCCTATAAGGTGAACATTAACCTGGGGTGGGCTGCGGGAAAGCACCATTGAAAGACTATTGAGAGATGGAGTGCCCACAGACAGGCAGAGTGAGGGAAAGAGGCTGGGAGGGCAGGATATCTGAAAGAGGGATCTTAGCAGCCTGGGGCAATCTCATCTTAAACCTGCAGGCATCAGACTCCTATGCTGATTCTAAACTCCAAGGTCATCAAACCCAAGACTCTTTGCTAACAGCTGGATGTGTGCTTCCCTGTTCATGCCCAGCCCAGACCCAGATGAGGGAGAGCATGGCCAGGTTTATGATTGGACCGGTGAAATAGGACCAGGGCTGGAATTGGTCCATTCCTAACCCAGAGATGCAGACAGGTCAAGTACCTCACACCTGATACGAGCCCCTGGGCCTAGACGGTGTCAGGTGCTTTTCTTCCTTTTCCAAATAAACTCTGCTTTCTGCTGGTCATTTTGTGGTTCAAGGGTCCAAGCACCCCTGGACAAGTTGGAGCAGTTGAAACACTATTTAAAACAAACACTCAAGGGGAAATTGATCACAAGGATCAAACTATAACTCCCTCCCAGGGGCACGAATAACAGAAAAGTGGGCAAGGGGCAATGGAGGACAATGTAGATATGTAAATAATAATCTATAACTTATCACGGGTTCGTGAGGGAGGGCGGGTGGGGGAGGGAAGGGGAAGAGATGGGGAGCTGATATCAGGGGCTCAAGTAGGAAGAGAATGCTTTGAAAATGATGATGACGGCATATGTGCAAATGTGCTTGACACACTGGAGGAATGTATGGATTGCGATAAGAGATGTAAGAGCCCCCAATAAAAGTATTTTTTTTAAAAAAGAAAGAAAAACACATTCATACAAGATCAAAGGTGCGGCATTTGCCCAGAGACACAGCTCAGAAGGCAGGAAGGGATGGAAATGACTGGAAGCAGGGAAACAGGGAGGAAGTAGGGAGACCGCGGTTTGTTACCTTGCCGGGATTGCGATCAGGGTCTTGGATCAAAATGTGCATGAAGTGTTGAATGGGAAACCTGGCTGCTTTGTTCAATTTGGGTGAACACAAATGTACTCTCATAAGCTCAGAACTAGAGGAAAGGGGAATTGGAGATTTCTCAAGGTGGCAAGAACAGGTTCACCGGTCCACCATCCCTTCTTAAAACCTTAAAAGTCAGAAGTGTTTTGGAATCACAGTTTTTTGTGTGCTTTGGAAAAGTAGTAAGATATATATAACCTTTAGCAAGGACCAGAAAATTCCTCCACAATCAAATATACTCTTTTTCTCTGTGTCAGATTGTAGGGACTTCTAAGTGGGTCTTCAGGCCATGAATAGTCAGCCTCCTGTTGGTTCAAGTCTGGTTTGACTGTTGTTAAATGAATTGAGGCCAGCCAACAAAGTGATCAAACTCTTGTGATCCAGGGACTGTGGAAGGCCCACTGTGGACCTGTACTGCCCGGTAAAGTGTCCCTTCCTGCTTCTAGGAGACCGGGAGCTTCCCACTGGAGGCAGGCCAGAGTCAGGGAATGGAGAAGAAAGTTCTTGGGAAGTTCCGAGTGCAAACCATGTTTCACAGAGGAACGCTCTGCTCCCACTAAGCAACCTTGAGGAAGAGGCCAGGCTTCAGAGGCACTGCCCCCACCCCCCCACCCCCCGGTCTCCCCCCATTTCAAAGAGCAGACAAATCAGGCTGGGATCCTTACCTGGAGCTGCAGTCCCATAGCCATAGCCCTGGTTAGCAACCACAAAGGGTTCATTCAGCGTGATCCAAAACTTCACCTTGTCTCCCAGCCGTTCAAAGAGCACATTTGCATAGTCTCTGAACCTCTGGACAATGGTCTCGTTCTCCCAGCCACCGACATCTTGCAGTGCCTGGGGCAGGTCCCAGTGGTAAATAGTCACCTGTGAAAAAGCCAGAGCAGTAGTCCTGTCAGCTGTTTCTAGACTTGGCATGGTGTGGTAAAACGTTGGGCTGTGATTGGCATGGTCAGCAGTTCAAAACTACCAGCAGCTCCAAGAGAGAAAGCCAGGGCTTTCTCCTGCAGTAAACAGTCTCGGAAATCCACAGGGGGTCTCTGTGAGTCAGGCAGAGAGTGAGTACTGACATTATATACCCTAGCATAAAGACCTGTTGCTAAAGCTGAGAATAACTTAAGGGATAAAAAGAGAAGAGTGTTTTGTTTTGTTTTCTTCCAGGGAGGGTGGGAGTGGAGAGGGAGCAGTATCAAGGAGTGAGAAATTCACATACCTGGATCCCATAACATTGGGTTTGAATCCTGGTTTTGCCCCTGTATTAGCTGGCTGACCCTGGGCTCAGGCCCGGGCACCTCCACTCCACACCCCACCCACCCCCACCCCCGCCCCTTGAGCCCCCTCCCCTCCCCTCCCATCATTCTGGGCCTCGGTCACCTGGACAGCACCCTGGGAGAGCTTCCTTGAGTGGTACCGCCAAGATCGGAAATGCTAGCGATTGAGAACTTTACTTGTAAGGAGACAGTCCTAAGCCCTTCCTGTGGCACCGAGAACGCTTCTCTGTGGCAGCCAGTCCATTGGTGGTGGTGGGGGGGGGGGTTGGTTCTTCTCTCCTGCTCTTCCTTTGACCCACTCCTAAGAGACTCCATCATGGCCAGGCCAGCCTCTCCTTTGATCCCAGCCTGATTGGGTGCTAACCAGCCTCAGCTCAGGCTCAGTCTCTCCTTGTCTTTGTCCTCTACCTCCTACCGTTACTAGCATTAGGTTCTTGTCGTAAGGAAGAGAAAGCTTTACTTTTGGAAGACAGAGGTCACCCCAAGAAATTTTGATTTAGAAATGCCCAGGAGGAAGAAATCCTTTCTCTCTCTCTCTCTCTCTCTCTCTCTCACACACACACACACACACACACACACACACACACACACACACACACAGGAATTTCCTTGGGGTGGCAAGGAGTTCTGGGAAATGTAGTCCAAAAGTGTAGTGGTGTTGCCATGGCTTCAGCTCATGCTCTGTTCAACTCTCCACTGTTGCTCCATTGCCTATTACCCAGACCTTTCTCTCTATCGAAATCCAAACCACCCTGAAGCATTCGCTACCCACACCACCTTTCCTTTTGTGGTGTCCCGGCACTCTGAAGCTCTACAACAAATGTTGCTTGACCCTGAGGTGTGTCCTCTGATGGTGTTCTGGTCTTGTTATACATGAAGAACCTGCTGTCCTTCAGACAGTGCTGTGGTCTTGGCAGAGAGCAGCTCTGCCCTGTCTGTCTGTCTGTCACAGAACACACGGCATCAAAGCCCGCACAGGCTGACCTGCTCCAGCAGTGCCAGCAGACAGAGGGCAAGATGCGGGACAGGGCTTTTATTTGAGGAAAGCCATCATCTGTTGGGCCTGGGAGAGAGGGTTGCAATGTAGGGATTAGGCTTTGTTGGGAGGTGTATAAGCTCCGTTCATTTCCTTCAGCAGAGGAAACACATGGTTCCACAGAACTGTTACTTTATAGTTACTTGTTTAAAATGGTCCCAGGGTGGGATGGTGGGGTATGGGAGTGGGGGGTGGAGGGTATGAGGAGGGAGAGAAAGTGTTCTTAGGTTCCTAAGTAAACATTTAAAAATTTTTGATGACAGCAAACTAAGCTTACAAATGAATTTTTGTAGTCTTACAACAATTTACGCTTTAAACACACACACACACATCTGTGACCCAGCAATTCTGCTCCTAGGATTGTATCCCACAGACCAGCTTTCATACATATGAAATGATGCATGTCTTTGTCTACTGGGGAGGTGTGGTAGTTAAATCATTTAATGTCAATTTAAAGATATATAGAAGTGTAGGGGTGGATTTAGCCTGTCAATCAGGTCACAGCCTGATGGCACTTTGTGGGCATGGCCTAAACATAAGGAGGTCCCTGAGAACCTCCCCCCCATCCCCTCTCTCTACCTTCATTTGGAGATACGTCCACCGCCATTGGATCCACGGGACTTTGCATTCATCAACCTGTGATCTTCCTGCATTCTGCATCATTGCATGTGGCTGCATGAGTCCGAAGACGGATTTATGGACTAGTAACGGACTTATACACTTGAGTTGGACCTGACTGGGATATTTTCCTGATATATAATTACTTCTTCATATAAAGCTCTTTCTTACATATATATGAGTGTCACTGAATCTGCTTCACTAGTCAACCTGGCTTAACACAGAAGGCACAAACAGTTAAGTTCTCAGCCATTAACTGAAAGGTTGGCAGTTCAGATCCACCCAGAAGCACCTCAGAAGAAAAATATGGTAATCTATTCTTGAAAGATCAGCCATTGAAAAACCTCAAGACAGAATAAATTTGGCAGCAAGTGATTTGGCTTGGTGTTTATGGCTACTTGGAATAGTATTTGTTATAATAACAAGAGTGGAAACATCCTGTTCATCAATAGGGAAATAATCAAATAAATGTTATATAAATAGAACTCTACATAAATGTAAGAAATGAAGAAAGCCAAATAAATATGGAATCTTCCTACTCCGGCTGATATGGACTATCTATAAGGAATATTGCTAAATAAAAGCAAGTTTCAAATGTATAAGTAATTTATTTTGGTCTTTTCATGGTCTGCCACTACGTTGAAAAGAAAAGGGAAACCGAGATGTTCATGCAAACACACACATGCATTCCTGTGTTCGCTTCCATAAGCAGAAGAGGGATGCCCCAGAAACTAGTAAACTCGGCTGCCCGCAGGGGATCCCGATGGCTGGGAAGAGGGATGGGACGGAACCTTAGCTCTGCAGTCGCATATGCTCTTTGGGGTCTGATGAATGTGGACTTACTGATAACTTTAAATCAACATTTTAAATGGTCTTTTGGGAAGGCTTTGTTAGGGGCATAATTTGGCCCGGGGGTGGGGGTGTCTCATTGTAGCCCTGTCATAACCCGGGGGCAGATGGAGGGAATGAGGAGCTATTATTTAAGGGTTCCAAGTTTCTGTTTAAGAAGAAGAAATCAGCACTCCGCTCTCGCCCTCCCTCCTCACACCCCCCCCCAACGTCCTCTCTCCCTTGTTCCCTTTCCCGTCCTCCTTCCTTTCCCCCTCTCTCCACGTGGACCACCAAGCGGGGCTGAGCAAAGAAATGATGACTTTATTGAATTAGACTGCACCATTCTGCTTCATGACATTGCATCTCAGGAAATCATTCCCTGGCAAATGCCAGTTCTCTGGCGCCCCCAATATGGCACTAAGTAAAGCGTAATAGCCGGCTGCCAAAGGAAGCCCATGTGGAGTAAGCCAGGGCCCACGCACTGCGATGAAGTAGTGAATACAGGCTTACTGTGATGTCCACGTTTGTTTACATTTGTGTCCAGTTTAAAGAGCCAACTTCGTTCAACCCAAAAGTGTCTCTTGTTATGTCTTGATTATAGTACAGAATTATATCGATTGCATAATGAAAGGTGTCACTGTCTAAAGACATCTTAATTGCAGCATAGTCCTATGTATATTCCATAATAAAAGGCTTCAATTCCAGCCTCAAAAAAAAAAGAAGATGAAATCATTTGAAAACCATGGTGATGGTTTATACAGCGTTTAAATAAAATTGATGTCATTGAATATTATACTTAAGAATGGTTAAATGATAAATGTCATACATATGTATATATGTGGGATACCACATATATGTATTTATATGTATATGGCATATGGGGTATGCATATGCCTATACATGGTCTACCGCATATACATGCATATATGTATGCCTATTTATATTCAAATAACATATAAAACAATTACCTATATATATATAGAACAACAGCTAAACAACAGCATTTTGTTCACACAGTAAGTGTGGCCTCAGCACAGCTAACTCTGCTGTGGGCCATAACCCATCTCACCTGGGGCTTGATGTTGGCAGCCAGCAGCGCGTCTATGAGCCGCACATAATAGGCCAGGCCTGCTGTGTTGATGTACTTGGTGGTTCCATCCGGGAGGACACGGGACCAGGAGATGGAAAAGCGGTAGTGGGACACACCCAGGTTCTGCAGGGCTGTCAGGTCCTCAGCAATCTTGTGGTAACTGTCACAGGCCACATCTCCAGTGTCATCGTTCCCCACTTTCAAGGGGGTGTGAGAAAACGTGTCCCAAATACTGAGTCCTTTGCCATCTTCTCTCCACGCACCTTCAATCTCAAGAAGACAAGCAGGGGCTACTTAGATCATTCAGTCAAGCGCCTCAAAGTTCCTTAGCGCCTGAGGTGAGAACCCAAGTCAGCAGCACCTTCTCTGTGCATCTCCCTTGCCCACCCCTCCCTCTGGTGTCTGAACTCCCAATATTTTCCATACGGTGCACGGCCCCATCATGCTGTGCCACACAATTGTCTGGCTCCCCACAAGACCGTGGGGTCTCGGCATTTGTCGTTCATCTCAGCATCCCATCAACGAGGGCAGCAGCAAAGGGCAGGGGTTCAGTAAGGGTTTAAGGAACAACCCTCACCCCACCCATTGAATCAGGGCCAAACAAATACTACTGCTGGCAGGCAGGGAGGAGAATTTCAAAATAGGATATGTCACTTTCTGCCCCTTCCCCTTTCCCCTAGGAACCCCTACATTTCATCCTATGGGGAAATTACGTATCGTCTTATAACAAACAGGCATACATTCTGTCATTTACTCCCAAACAGTCCCCCTGCACGCATGCTGCGATATTTTGTGAAGACATGAAGACTGGCATTTGAATCAGGAAGGCACATCCATGGCACTTCAGCAAAAAAAACACTTCATATTTTCTTGTCTTTGTCCAAGTGTTTCTGTGTGTACTCTACTTGTTTCATCTTGCTCTAAAAATACCATCCTTATACCGTCCATCTAACCATGCTGATCTGATCAAAGGTGGGCTGAGAATGGGGCAGGCTGTTGGGGAGGAGGGCCCCTGGGTTTCCGACAGGCCGGTCAGCAGACTTTGCCGAAATTCCTGTTCAGATGCCTTTCTGTCTCCGTGACCCATCCCTTAGCTCAGAGCTGGGCATGCAGCATGTTTGTTGAGTTGCGTTCCCCTCCTTACCTGATATGCAGCGGAAGCCGCACTCCAGAGGAAGCCATCGGGAAACTGTCCATAGAGAAATTCGTCTTCCTTGGGCAGTGGCATGCCATTGTTGGTAATGACCTCTGTGTAGTAGCTGGAGGAGGCTCTTGCTGTTCGGGGCCTAGTTAACTCATTGAAATCAACGTGATACAGTCCAAACTTGACTGTGTAACCATTCAGCCATTCAAAGTTGTCCATCAGAGACCATGCCACATATCCTCGAAGGTTTACACCATCAAGCCTGTAGGCTGGGAACAGTTGGAAGGGAGCACAGAAGATAGCTTTACATCATAACACAGGATCTTCAACATGCCTAGCCCACTCACCTCTTCAACTCAAGTCAATACTTGTAAACCAGGGGTGGGGAACAGCCAGCCCATCGGCTGTATAAACCCCAAACCAAGCTCACTGCCATCAAGTTGATCCTGATGCATAGTGTCCCTGTAGGTTGTGATAGAACTGCCCCTGTGGGTTTCTGAGACCGTAGCTCTTTCTGGGAGAAGAACGCAGCATCTTTCTTCCACGGAATGCTGGTGGTTTTGAACTGCTGACCTATGGTTAGCAGCCCAACCCACAACCACTAAACTGCCTGGGCTCCAAGACTGGTCATATAAGGCCTGCGAAGTCATCAATACCAGCTACGGTCACATGCCTCATGAAGGAGAAGCCGTCCCAGCCCTGTCGTTGCTGGTGAGGTGCCAGGGAGTCAGTTCCAACTGGCAGTGGCGACACGACACACAACAGAATGAAACGCCGCCTGGCCCTGGCTGTCCTCACAGTTACCCTCATGTTTGAGCTCACTGTTAAGGCCACTGTGTCAAGCCGTCTTAGTGAGGCCCTTCCTCTTTCTCGATGCCCCTCTACTTTTCCAAGCATGATGTCCTTTTCCAGGGACATCACATTAGGGGTGAGTTAATTAAATGTTGCCCAAGTAAAGCAGGCTCGTTTTTAAGTGGATAAATTGGTGTGACCCACGAATGTTATCCGTATCCCAATGGCTCTTGGCAGAAAAAAAAAAATCCCACCCCTGTTCTAAACCATCAACTTCTACACATAGGCAATGTGACCTCTAATAGATAAATAGGCCTTCTTGATTATCTTTCTTTTTGTTAATATTGACACTCACATGGCAAGTATCGATGGTCAGATCTTTCTTAAATTAGGGGTAAAGGAACATGTCCCAACTTCAAGCCTCTCAGCCCACCCTCACACTTTAGAAATGAAGTACAGAAGTGTGTGAATTAGAGTGCCTTGTTCTGAGATTCATGGAACCTACCAGAATATAAACTCCATGAGACCAAAAATTCATAGATTCTGTTGACTTCTGTATCCTGCACCTAGGCCCAGACACAGCAGTGACTCAAAAGAATCTTTTTTTGGTCCTGGTTACCTCACAACCAAGCAACAGACATGCCTGGAGAATAACTGACTACATAGGGCAAAAGAAGCAGCATTTACCTGCCCCCCCCCTCCCCCCAAAAAAGCTCAGAGCAAAGAAGGGGCAGGAAAGAAGAAGACATGGGGCTGAGAGGAAGCCACGGAGGAGGGCATTGTCCTGCCGAGGATACTGCAACGACCATCATGGAACAGCGTGGGGGTAAGTTGGTGGATGGAAAACAAATGTGTTCCTCGAACTTCCCACCCAAACCACACACACACACACAAAAGAAGAAGCAAAAGAAAAGAATATACAGGTAACCATGCATACAAACAAACACATTTTCTTGGCGAAAGCAAATAAACAGACCCAGGAAAACATCCCTGTGAGCACTCTGTATGTGTAGGTACATCTGTGGCAGTTACAGAATCTCCTGTCAACTTGCAAAGGGATGGAGTGTAGCCTGAAAATCAGGTCACAGCTTGATGGCCTCATTTGGAGGCATGAAGGAGATAAAAAGCTCACTGGCGGCCATCCCAACATATTCTTTGCTACACATTCCTGTTGACAAGACACATGAAGCTGTGCTGGTACAGCCAGAGCCCTAGAGCCTTGTGGAGATCCATGCCAGCACTGAGATGCTTCTACCACCACTGGATCCACATGACTTTCCACCCACAGGCCTGAGATCTTCCTGCATTCGGCATCATTGCATGGGTTGTGCGAGTCTAAAGAATAATTTATTAGACTGGTATCGGACATATGGACTTGATCTGGACTGGGTTGGGTTGTTTCTTAATAGACAATTACTCTTTGATATATAGTTCTCTCTTAACACCTATATGTCTATGAATTTGTTTCTCTAGTCACCCAATCTGACACAACATCTGTGCTTTTTCTCTGAGGACATAAATGACCAGACCTTTTTTCTAGCTTCTCAAATGGAGCTGTGACCCCCACACAGGTAAAGAGTTCAGGACTTGGGGCTTAAGAAAGAGATAGTGCTGGGTAGTTCCTAAAGCACTTCAGGCACATGACATACGCAGACAGGGGAAACTTTCGTAAAGAGATCAAAACCTTCACATACCTTTCAAAGCTTCATTGATGTAGGTTTTGTGGTAAAATATCCTGTTGGTATCCTCCACTTTGGGATTGGTTAGCCCCATCCCATTTTCGGTGATGTAAATGGGGAGGTCACCGTACTCTTCTTTGAGCCAGTTCAGCAGTCTTCGCAGCCCCCAGGGCACAGCCCTGTAAATGGCGGTAGAAGGCCACGAGGGGTCTTCCTCCTCGGTTGCCTCCTGGTCATCCTCATAGGAAGGTGGGTTTAGTCTGGGTGTTTTATGCTGCACGAGCCTGGAATAGTATGTGTTGAGACAGAAGACATCTGCTGTGCCCCTAATCAATCTTTTCTCTTCCTCGGTGAAGCTCGGCAGGCGGGAAGCGGCCAGGTGCTGTAGTTCACTCCTGTTCCCCACTTTCCACTTCATGGCATCGGGATAATCTCCATTTCTGAAGATGGGGTGGGCAAACCAGCCCAAGGAGAACTGCAGCACTCTGTCAGCTGCTTCCACGTCTCTCAGGACCCCTGGCGATTTGGGTTCTGCCCAGTGTGCACTGAGGCTTATTGAAATCACTCCCTTCTGCTTCTGTCTATACTTCTCGTCGTAAGTGTGATAGACTCTGGCATGAGCTTTGAGGATAGCATGGCCAATCCTGTAAGGTCCCCAGCCTGGGTCCTTCACCTGTGGAGGGAAATCCCCTGAGCCATAACCCAACCAGGCCTGGAATGTGGGCTCATTAAAAGTCATCCAGAACTTAACTCTGTCACCAAAGGTCTGGAAACAGAAATCCGCATAGCTGTCAAACAACTCAATCATGGCAGGGTTATCCCAGCCTCCGATATCCTGGAGGGCTTGCGGCAGGTCCCAGTGGAAAAGTGTCACCAGGGGAGAGATGTTGCTTGCTATCAAGCCATTGATCAGCCTGTTGTAATAATCAACACCATGACTGTTGATCGAACTGTTTCTCCCAGTTGGAAAAATCCGAGACCAAGAGATGGAAAAGCGATAGGCCTTCACCTTCAAAGCTCGCAGCATGTTCAGATCGGCCTCCAGTTGATTGTAGCTGTCACAGGCTATGTCTCCAGTGGCGTTGCCTTTCACATTGCTCCCTGGGGTGTGGGTGAAGTTATCCCAAATGCTAGGGCCTTTCCCATGGGTGTCCCAAGCTCCCTCAATCTGATAGGCTGAAGAGGACACACCCCACAGAAAGTCATCCCGAAACGTGCCGTGGTAGAACAAATCTCTTTCAAACTTGGGTTGGTTCGAGAACTTTTCCCAAACTACTTTTGCCTTGGAGGGCACCTCAGATGGAAAATTAAAGGCTCTAATTTTGGGGGGGGCATTTGATGCGCTAGGTGGTGGCAGCCCATGCCCTGCCTTGGTGCGGAAGCTATTCTTTTCAATGATGTCGGTGAAAAAGAAGGCAGAGCTCCTGGGCGTCCTTGGCTTGCTGCTGTCGTTGAAGTTGACATGGTATAGCCCAAATCTCTGACTGTAGCCAGAGGGGCCCTCAAAGCCATCGATGAAGGAACGAACAATATACGAACGAACATCCACTGAATCTTCTTTGACAGCTGCCAAGAAAAAACACAAGCAGCGTTATTTTAAAGTCTGTGTTGCTGTGGTTGCTTAAAACAGGTTTTCCTTCTGATAAAGTTGTGGAGATGACTGAGGCTAACCAGAAAAAATTAAACTCCATTTCTCCCTCAGAATGAATCGAAGGGAGACCCACAAGAGCCCCAAATACAAAACCACTCCTATGGTCATGCATCTCAATCCAAAGGGGCATCCCTATCTTATTTTTCATAAACGGAAAAAAAGTTTTATTGAGATATAATTCACATATCTACATATCCATAGTGCAACCATATTTAAAAGAGTTGTATAATCATCACAACAAACTGTTCTGAAACATTTTCTTCCTTCTTTATCTACTTATTTTCAATTTGTATTTATTTATTTATTTATATTTTTAGCTTCTTTTTTAAAAATCATTTTATTAGGGGCTTATACAACTCTTACCACAATCCATCCATACATCAGTTGTGTAAAGCACATTTGTACATTCATTGCCCTCATCATTCTCAAAACATTTGCTCTCCACTTAAGCCCCTGGCATCAGCTCCTCATTTTCCCCTCCCTCCCTTCTTCCCCCTCCCTCACGAACCCTTGATAATTTATAAATTATTATTTTGTCATATCTTGCCCTGTCTGACGTCTCCCTTCACCCACTTTTCGGTTGTCTGTCCCCCAGGGAGGAGGTTATATGTAGATCCTTGTAATCGGCTCCCCCTTTCCAACCCATCCTCCCTCCGCCATCCCAGTACCGCCACTCTCACCTCTGGTCCTGCAGGGATCATCCGCCCTGGATTCCCTGTGTTTCCCGTTCCTATCTGTACCAGTGTGTATCTTCTGGTCTAGCCAGATTTGTAAGGTAGAATTGGGATCATGATAGTGGGGGAGGAGGAAGCATTTAGGAACTAGAGGAAAGTTGTGTTTCATCATTACTACATCGCACCCTGACTGGCTCATCTTCTCCCGGAGACCCTTCTAAAAGGGGATGTCCAATGGCGTACAAATGGGCTTTGGGTCTCCACTCCGCACTCCCCCCACCCCCGCATTCACAATGATATGACTTTTTATTCTGATGATGCCTGATACCTGATCCCTTCAACACCTCGTGGTCGCACAGGCTGCATTTTCTACCTCCTTGTATTCCTTTTTAGCTCTCCTTTTCCCTCCAACCCCCCTCCTGTATCCCCAATAAGCCATTACTCCAGTTACTGTCTTATCGGATTTACCTCTCCTGGATTTCATACACTGCAAAAAAGACCAACAACAATGTCAAATTAAACCAGAGGGAAAAAAACCTCAATCGAGAAAAAAAGGAAATATTACAAACTAGAACAAATTTTTAATAGGTCAAAAGGAAGTTCAAATGATCAGGTATTCCACATTAACCTAATTACATGTGCCGTAACTGAGTTTACAACACTCTCTGTCTGATAGCAAGGCTATTCACATCTCTGGACTATGGTCAGAGGGGATTCACCAGACACTTAATTCATGTAGGGGCCCTGCAAATGAATTTTGGGTTCCCACTGTCCTCCTGCTTCTGCAAATTGGGCATTCACAATTTAAACTCTGATACCATTCCCTCCTTCAGATTTGGAGGTTATTATTTATCATCCTTGGATCACACAGGCTGGTGTGCTTCTTCTGTGTGAACTTAGCCGACACCTCACTTAGATGGCTGCTTGTTTGAAGATAGGCCTTTCAGATCCCTAGAGTTATTCTTTTTGATAGCCGGGCACCGTGTCTGCTTTCTTCACCATACTTTGCTGTAGCACCCATATCTTCAGTGATCTTTTCAGGTGGGTGAGCGGCACTGTCACAAGAACTGATTGTTCTTAGATTGGGGCTAGAATTAAGTGTGATCCCAAAATATATTCAAATATCTATGTTTTACATGCATCTCTGGTTCACTTTAGAAGCCTCATTATTATTTTATGACAGAGAACATTATCAATCATCTATTAATTCTATTAATAGTATCGCTAATTTATCTAAAGGTTAGAATTTAAGATACTATTGAGAAAAGGAAATTACATACTGGCTCCAAGTTGTAAGCCACAAATTATTAATTTGTACAGATTAAACTCTTAAATAATTGGGCACTGTATATATAGATTGACCATGGGGGTTGGTGATAAGTGAAAATTTCCTGTAATGTTCATTCACAAGGGCAGAACCACACCTATAAGATGCATATATGTCCTAGTGAATCTAGGAGGGCAGTAAAATAATAAGTGTCTGGTGGTCCTGGGCCACCTTTCATTAAGTATCCACAAAGCAAGGGATCTGAGCCAAAAGCCAGTAACTGCCAATGCCGTAGCTTTGGGGTGACAGTTCATCTGTTTCTTTGCACACCAGGAAGTCTTAGCCTTAAGTCCAAGGGCTACAGGTGACTTTTGTTGTTGTTGTTTTTTCCAATTCAATACATGTATATTTCAGTGTAATTGATTAGATTCTGTTATGCAACCATTACTGATATCTTTTTCCAAATTATTCCAGCACCATTAACATAAACTCAATATCTCCTAAGCAAAAATTCTTCCATGGTAGCCATTGGATTTTTTTTTTAGTAGTTATCTTGATATGAAAATACTCTTCCATTGTTAAGTCACTTTTTAGAAAAGTTGTATATACATCATCACAATCAATTCGAGTGCTCCCTCCCACCTCCTGCATTCATTGTGTGCTCCCTCATCCCCCTCACCCTCTCCATGCCCTGTCCTGATAAACCCTTGTATCTGCATCAGTTACTGTCTCTATTCATCCATTCCTTCTGGTTTTCATGAACTGTGAACCCTGACAGAAACAACAAAACCAAAAGTGAATCATAAACTACAGGTGAGTTTAGGTGAAGCCCAGTTCATTAAGTGGCCTTTCCACATCCAGTCTCTCTGCTGTGGCCTGTGAAGGATGCTGTGTTCCTTGAAAGGATAGAATCTAAGGTCACAGTAGTTTATGACCCATAACTGGGGTTACCAAAGGCTGGATAGAATGTGGGTAAAACAAGGATCTACATGTGACCTCCTCCCTGGGGGACGGACAAAAGAAAAGTGGGTGAAGGGAGTTGTCGGACATTATTATGAAAAATAATAATTTATAAATTATCAAGGGCTCTTGAGGGAGCGGGGAGGGGGAGGGATGGGAAAAAAAGAGGACCTGATGCCAGGGGCTTAAGTGGAGAGCAAATGTTTTGAGAATTATGAGGGCAATAAATGTACAAATGTGCTTTACACAATTGATGTGTGTATGGATTGTGATAAGAGTTCCATGAGCCCCTAATAAAATGATTTTTTTTAAAAAGAAGTGGGGGGAAAAAAAGAAATTTTCATAAGTTGGGAGCAAAACTTCTTTTCTCCTCCTTATTTCTTTTAAAAAACTATTTCAATGGATAAAATAAATGTTAACTTCCTTGGGAAGGAGCTACTTGTAACTAAAGCCCTCCAGGATTCTATCACCAATATTATGTGCCTTGAATAGCTTGACTGTGGTAGGAATTGAGTGATTTTCTAATTCTTAATAAATTCATATGCCACTCAAAACAATAAAAAAAAGAATGTAGGTATAAAATGTCTAATTAGGAATGTTGTACTGGGCTTATTCTCCTCTCGGGTTCTTTATAAGTATTGTTAAGTGTTTCCCCTGTCTCCTTTCCATTTACCAACCAACAGAAATGTAAATACCAGCCCCAAAACATAGATGCTCCCTTCTCCCCATCTTGACTTTTCAGTAAGGTCCCTCATCACTCTTGTAGGAGTGTTCATTGATTGGGTGTGACCTTATCACAATGTTGTATAGCAGCAAATGACTGGTCTTCTCTATTTCCCCCCTTCTTGAAGGAGTGACCCTAACTGAGGTGGGGTCTCTTCTAATAAAGTGGTTTTTAAGATGTGCATATAAAGGGGGTGATGTGTATGGCTCATGGATGCCACCTCTTTGCTTGGGAGACAGGATTAGAAGTTTGCGTGACCAGAGAGCAGAAGCCTGCCTACATTTCGGTGGTTTTCCTTATAGTAGTGGACTCCTACAGAGTCTGTCGTTTTGTGACTGACTAACTTCACTCTCAGCATAAGGGTTTCCAGGTCCCTCCATGCTATGAGGCGTTTCAAGCTTTCCCCCTGTTTTTCAGGGATGCATAGTATTCCATTGTATATATGTACCAGAGTTCTTTATCCATTCTCCTACTGATGGGCACTGGCGCTGTTTCCAGATCCTTGCTATTGTGAACTGTGCTGCAATAAACATGGGAGAGCACACACCTCTTCATGTTCTGTCTCTTATTTCTTTGGGGTACAGACCCAATAGCAAGCAATATTGCTGGATCGTGTAGGATTTTCAATTCCCAGTTGTTTTACGTAGCACTTTATTGCTTTCCATTGAGGTTGTATGTGCTGGTAAGTCCACCAGGATGAGGTCCAACTTCTCCACATTCTCAAGAAGCTTCCCTGTCTTATAATGAAAAATCAGGAGAATATATCCTATTGACCAGCATCGGAACTCCTTGGTTGTATGTAGGATATATCTCTCATTTCATCTTTTTAAAATGTGGCTGTTTTTTCTTGTTTACATTTAATATTGGCAAGATATTGATCAAAGGATCATATCATTTATGTTAAATAGAAAAATAAAACTCTAAGAAATAAATCCCCAGGCTCACCTCTGATTGCCCCACAGCAATCTAGTGAGTCAACTAAGAACAAGAGCCGAAATATGCAACGGTGGCAGATTCCACAACCAGAAAGGTCTTCAGCCTCTTTTTTTTTTAACTTGAGGAGTAAGTATAGTGTAATATTTTGTTAAAATATTTTAGTGTTTCAAATCTTGTTTTTATGTGACTCCAGAGGCTTTCAACAAATGTAGTGAGTGCATAAAGAGTAGGTAAAGTTGCTCATTCAGTCTTAGGCACCCACTTCTATTCACCCACACTGATGAATAGAAGTCTCATGAATGAATGAGTAGAGGGGATGAAAGAGACAGAAGTAGAAAGGCCTGTGATTCCAACCTGTACTCAATTATTCACTCTATCTCTCAAAGCTTCACTTTTTTGCAATTTTCCAATGAAGATATCTGCCCTAATATACTGCACAGCACTGTTTTCAGGATCACATATGATACTGTATGGGATGGTGTGAAAGATAATCAAGATGACCTTGATGATTAGAAGAGTACAAGTATAAAAAAGACTCTGACTTCATAGACAAAGCTGGGAAGTACATCAAAGTACATGGTCTCTATTTCTGGCTTCAGTGCTCATGGCAGGCATCACTAGTCAACTCTCTCTTTTTGAATTTAGACAAGGCCTCGAAAGCTTTTCAATAAGCCCTGGGCAGAAGGCTAATCACTATCAATTGATTAGGACTGACATATGCAATGCAGCCTATGTGTCATTCCTTACAACTTGGAAAAAATATGTATGAAATAGAGTGTTAGATAGGAATGGGATTGTAGCTATTGATCAATTGGATCAGACATAGACTGTAGATTTTATAGCTGTTAAAGAAAATGGAGGTCATTGTGGCTGGAGCAAGGAGGGAAGAGTTTATTGGTTAGAGTCCCACCATCAGTGTCCTCATGCCATCCTGTAAGGCCCTTCTTGCCCTGGATTATAAGTGACTGACTGCCTGGGTCCCTCTGTCGATTGTGAGTTCTTGATGTGAAAGGGCAATGTTTGCTCAATATTATACTTCCTTTGTCTTGTGTTGGCTCATAACAAGAATGCAATAAATATTTGTAAAATAAATGCATTAAACAAAAATGAGATTTGATTAATGGGTAGGACTCAAGTGGGCAGAAGGTTAGAAAGGAATCCAGTTAAGGAATAAGAACACAGAAGCAAAGATATGAGAAAGCTAGGAGACTGCTGTGAAGGACTCCAGCCCTATCTCCACTCTGATGGTTTGGCATCATTTCAGTGGAAGACTGTCTTTGTGTCTCTAATGAAAGCCCCGAAGACCTGGAATAGAAGTCCCACCCTGATTCCAGTCCCCAGCGTTTCTTCCATGTCTCACCTTTGAGTACCTCGTTGATCGACCGGTTGAAGTAGTCTACTCTCCAGGAGTCATCGAGGAGGTTTTCGCTCTCTCCTATGGGGATACCATTCCCAGACAGGTAGATTGGAACTTTTCCTCTTGTGTATTCCAAGGATACAAACTTCAGCAGCCTCCTTATACCCCAGGGAACCACATGAATCCAAGGGGAAGAAGTCTGAGGCCATGCAGGATCCACATGTTGCGAGAAGCCCCCAATGGCATCATAGGTGGGGAGGCAGCTGTTTTGCTGGGCTTCAGTGATGAGGCGGGAGGTGTAATGAGACAGACCCAGAAAGTCAGCAGATCCTTTCAGCATCTGTTTCTCTGTCACACTGAACTCGGGCAGCTGGGCCACAGGACTGGAGCACTGTTCGTTCTTCTGTTGGATCTGAGCTCTCAGGGCAGCGGGGTAGTCCCCATCTACAAAGATGGGGTGTGCAAACCAGCCCAGCATGAAGTGCAAGAAGCGCTCGGAGGCGTTCAGGTCCTCGGGCTTCTCTGGGGACAGGGGCTCTGCCCAGTCTGAGTTCAAAACAATGCCCACAGACCCCTGCTGCTGCAGCCGGTGGTGACGGTTGTAGTGGTGCCAAACTCTGGCATGAGACTTGAGGACCAAGTGAGCTACCTGGTTAGGAAGATAGAAGGAAATACAGTGATTAGTGGCAATGACAATGGCACAATAAGCCAACAACACCCATGGTAACAGCAACACCAGCAAGAAGTTAACATCAATGTTCACAACAGCAGCAAGCAGTCAACAACAACATCAGTAAGTTAACACTGAGGCCCACCATGTCGATAAGTCAAGGATATTGATGTCAGCAGCAATACTCCTGGTGACAATATTAATAAGCTGAAAACGGAACAGCAACAACAGCTAGTCTATGACTGCCTCAGCAAGGTGACAATATCAATAAGCCAACAACGGAACAGCAACAACAGCAAGTCTATGACTGCCTCAGCAAGGCTGCCAGGAACAACCTTGTTGGTGCTCAAAAGGTACTGAGCACCTACTGCTGCACGAGTTCTAGCAAGTAGTCCTCACACTGAGCTTGCATGGCAGGTACAGTTGTTGTTACCATTTTACAGAGGAGGGAAACAAGACCCACAGGGATATAATAACTTGCTGCTTTGGGTCAGTACAGGTTGAGGGAGAATATAAAACAGAGGAATTCCGAATCCAGGCCTGTGCTATCGCTCCCAATGCTGTTCTCTATCCTCACCAAATGCTTACTGACTGGCGGGGTGGCGGTGGTGGTATTGGAATTCACCTATAAGGTGAGGACCATTCTTTCTAGCCTATCTTCCTTACATCAGTTTGGGTTGCGTTTTCTGTCACTTGCCACTAAGTCCCAGCTGACACGCAACACTTGTTTTGGAGTTAAGAAAATGTGGACTCCAGTCGTGCTTCAGACTGCCAGCTGTCCAGCAGTGTCATCCTGACCCAATTGCTTCTTGCCTCTGCGCCTCAGCTGCCTCCCCCAGCAGTGCTGTTCTGGGAATGTGATGACTATTTTTTTAATGCCTCGTGCAGCAGTAGGTGCTCAGTACCTTTTGAGCACCAACAAGGTTGTTCCTGGCAGCCTTGCTGAGGTAGTCATAGACTTGCTGTTGTTGCTGTTCCGTTGTTGGCTTATTTTTTTAATGTCTGGACAAAGTAAACGGCTAATAATTTCTGTATTATTCCTCCCTTCCCTTTGCTTGTCTTGAAAGGACAACGGAGGAACAGTCTTGCTGATGAGGAGTCCAACTCTTCCCTCACTTGCAGGAGCTGCAGGGATGGGAAATACCTTAAAAGAGGCCGTTCCTGGGTCCGAGATGCCTGGCGCATGTTGGCCGGTGCCATAGCCCGCGTAGCTCATCACCCATGGCTCATGGAAGGTCACCCACAGCTTCACGCGGTCTCCAAACGTGGAGAAGCAGAAGGCTGCATACTCCAGGAAGGCCTCCCCAGTACTCTCATTCTGCCACCCGCCCCCAGCCTGCAGGGCCTGGGGCAGGTCCCAGTGGAACAGGGTCACCATGGGCTGGATGTGGGAGTCCCGCAGGCGGTTGATCAGCGTGTTGTAGTAGGCCACGCCGCGGGGGCTCAGGCTGCTGCTGTGCCCAGTGGGGAACAGACGGGACCAGGAGATGGAAAACTTGTAGGCCTGCGCTTGGAGACCACGAAGCAGGGCCACATCAGAGTCCACCTTGTGGTAACTATCACTGGCCACCTCTGACGTTGCTTGGCCCTCTGCAGCTTCCTGGTGATCACGTTGGTCCCAGATGCTTGGTCCCCTTCCGTCTTCAGCCCAGCCTCCCTCCACCTTAAAGGCTCCTGTGGAAACTCCCCAGAGGAAGTCTTCAGGGAAAACATCCCCCAGGAAAGCATCCCTTTCTGCTTGAGACTGGTTCCCAAACATTTCCCAGACCGTCCGGTAGGCAGAGATGGAAGAGGAGCTTGTAGCCATCTTGTCCTGCTGTTGGTCCTGAAGGGTCAGGTGACAAGTGTTGCTGCTGCAGGACCAAAATGATATAAAGGAATACAGTATCGAATGGCTCTGTAAATTACAAACGCCCTCATCCTAAAGCATAGCGAGCATTGTGGTTCATCAGTAGACTTTGCAGAAACCCAGACAGGAGACGCATAGCCAGCAGCCAGGAACAGGACGTGATGGGCAGGTGGGGCAGTGTTTATGACTGACTTGATAAGCAAGGGATTGTCACACTCGGGTGAGAGTACAGCACTAGCCCTGCCACTCTCTTCTGCACAGCTTTGCCCGTGAATAATACTGTGTTGCATGCTGGTGCACTTTGGTTTAGTCATAATTTACTATCTATAAAATGAAAATGCATGCAAGTCATACTACTAATTAGTGTTATAAACACATACTTATATAATTTTACTGGCATAATGAAATCAAACGATAATAAAATAATAATGCTGTTAAGGGATGTTGAGTTGCATTCAACTCACAGCACCCCTATGTGACCAAGCAGAACTGCCAAGTGAATGGGTGGGGCTATGAAATAGAGTATGTAGCCACTAATCACTGTAACCGGTCTTCCTGTTTACCCTCAAGGATTAGCTGGCTTTGCTGTCCCACTGAGCATGTAAAATTGGGCCATCTTAGGTGCAGGAAGAGGAGGAACCCCATGACCAGTGAGAGAGAAGAGTCACCATTGGAGCATGTGCAAGATTCCTGCCTGAAGTGGCAGAAGCAGCAGAAGCCATGGCACTGAGACCAGGAACCAGAGCAGAGGAGCCCACCAAGACTGTGAGACAGAGCGGCAAGTCCATGGAACAAGGCCTAGGTCAAAGGACCAGATGGCTGAGAGACATGTCTGCTAGCATGGCTGACAAGAGGCGTTTCTGACACAGAACTGTATCCTTAACGTTTTATAAGCGGTCATCTTCCTGAAGAAGCCCATCAGTTGTGTGAGCTCAGTGTGGTCCTTGCAAGCATGATCCAACCCAGCAGAGGAGCAGAGTGCCCTGAGAGAGACTGTGGGTGTCAGAATAGTGTACAGAAAGATGGACGGTAGAGCCATGTCTGGCTTCGGCCTTGTGGCAATTGGCCTTGGGCTTCTGTCATGTTGGGGTTGGGTAGCCAGTGGGGGGGTGTGTCAGACAAGGTCCCCATGCCATTTCTTAGCCAGGAAACCTCCATTTGGGTCCAGCCTCCACCAGTCTCTCTTGGACCCACCCCCACTGCTCCTGACCCTGATTCTGTTGTCCTAGCAGGGCAGAAAAGAGGACAGAGGAAGTAAATAAATAAACAGATGAGAAGTTTCCACAACGCTCTTGGATCTGGAAGCCCTGGGTTTGCCCAACGTAAGGTGTATTCAGCAGTTTGGAGTCTCAGTCACTGTCACCAGTCTTCCTGTGTGCCCTCATTCAACCAAGCCTTCCACAGGGCATCTGGGCAATGTTATTGTCGCCCTCCTCTGGGGCCTCTCCTGCCCCACTGAATTAGAGGTCTAACATGCTCAAGGGAGAAAGCCACGTTACAAGAGAGAAGCCCTGGGCCTTCCTCCCCCTCCCTCAAGCACCTGCACAAGGACCCTCCCCAACCCCCACCATAGTTGGTGTAATGCAAGCCAATAGTGGACCTTGGCTTCAGGCAAAGTACCACCAGGTCAAGGTATTATAGAGATACCGTATATCATATCGTGCTTTTGTAATCTTTGACCTTTCTGGGAAGTCATTTTATTACGGTTGCCTAACATTCCTTTTAGGAAAAGGCACAATCCCAGCACTCCCAGCCGGATTCCAAGAGTGGTCCTGGCACAGTTTGGCCTATCTCTTCATGTGTTCATACCCTGCCAGAGTAGACATGTGACTGTGACTCCATGTCTGTAGATTTGAACTGTCAGTTGGTGCTGAGAGAACTGACTAGAAGAAGAAGGCTGCGGCTCAGGGCAGCTGAGGCTGGAGATGAAATGTTCAAGAGGTCAATGACAAGGACAGCTTTGGCCAAATGACTGCCTCCCAGCTTTGGCCCTGTCTTTAATGCGTGCTGCATGAAGCTCATGTGGATAGCGCACATCCATGGGGTGCTAGGGGCTCTGGGTCATTCTCAGCGCTGGTTCCCACATGCCCTGTGCTTGCTGACGAGAAGAAGATAAAGGAGTGTGGCTGTGTGGAAAATCTAAGAAAGGTCTTGGGTCTAAGTTTTCTGAAAACTTAAATGCTGGTCCTTTAGTCCTTTGCTTAGAAATGACTTGCAGTCCATGCACAGATGAAAACCTCTGCCCTGAGGACACAGTTGAGTTGGGTTTGGCTCCACTCCAACCGCTGGCCTTGCCATCTCACTGTCTCCCTGTGGCATAGATGCGTCACTGTTCACACTCAAGAACTCAAAACTCACTTGACTTACTCTGATCACATAAGTGGGACTCAAATCAGATCGGCGGGACGGTCTGATCACTTCACCCTAGTTCCTTGGTGTGTTTACACAGGTTCCCACTGCCTCCGGCAAGACCTTAAATCCCAGCCCTGCTCTTAGACAAACTACCGGGTGGCCCAAGGAAGATGTAAATGCCAGCCCAGTGAACAGACTCCGGGAGAGAGGAGTTCTCTCTGCTGTTTCCTCTGAGCCCTGCGTCTCATCCCTCCATGCCTGTAATAACGGTTCCATGGTAGGACATGTATGAAAGAATAGCACAGAAATATGCAAATGTCAGTTATCAAGAGTTCAACAACAACAACAAATCCCACATTACCTTTCCTTGGAGCCAGACGGACAGTGCAGGAATGCATTAATATCAAACCCAATGGTGAGCACGTGTTCTTCATTGATAGCTGGAAGAGAGAATGTTTAACTTTATCTGAAGCGTAACTAAGACACGGCATGCCTGCAGTCCAAGGTTTTCCTCACCTACAGAGCGCACTTAAACTCAGTGGACCCAAGTGCCTGGGGAAGAAACCATTTCCGTCATGAGCTGAAGATTCAAGGAGTGCAGATGGGATTTCTACCGAGTCATGACTGAAAGCAGCAAACTAGACGGTGCCTCAGCCTCTCCTGGAGGACTCGTTCAAACACTGATGACTGGGCCCCCGGCCGAGACCCTTGTTCAGGAAAGTTGAGGTGTGGCCCAAGAATTCTCATTTCATGTTCTCAGATCATGGCGATGCCTCTGATCAGAAGCACACAAGTTTGAGAAGAGCTCCTTTAGAAGAAATCAAACATCAGAAAGGTTGAGCCTGGACTAAGGTGAGCAAAGGGTCTCTATGGACAGATGTCGTGGCATCTGGGGAGGCCAGCCCGGTGAGCGAGATGGTACCATATTGGAAAGGACACAGTGGCCTCTGCTCCACTCGCTGACATTCCAGATGATGGGATTGACAGTCAGGGCACTCAAGAATATCTTAAGGATCTTCGTTCCTTCCTTCAAATTCTCTAGTGTCTTGGCCTCCACTTGCGATACCTTTAACAGACCCCATTTCTCCTGTGGACTTGCCCAGTAGGGTCCTCCTGATCCACAGCCTGTGACTCAGCAATCTAAACCAAGAGGCTCTGAAAGGATTGTGTGTGTGTGTGTGTGTGGAAAGTTTTTAGCATCTTGATCAGAGTGTCACACCATGAGCAAGTGGAGATAAAGGGTAGTATCACATGAGCTGGTGAGGGAGAGAGGGATATTAAACAGCCCCACTGAAGAAGGCAGAGAGGAGTGACGTTGGCAATAGGGGGCCACGGAAGGGGAGCAGGCAGGAGAGGAACAGTTTTCACATGTACAACTGACCACCAAGGCCTGTCTTTTAATTTCCGTAAGTTCTCAGTGTCTATATGTAGACTCCTCCTGCTTAGAATAACGAAGCTGCTTTCAAGGGTCATCAGTGGGAAGACAGAGGAACAACCTTATATGGAGTTCCTTCTCACCTCTCCTCATGCCCTCCATCGGAACCCCAGACCTTCAAGACTGCCACCCACCTGGCCAGCATACGACATGCACTATGGGTTGAATTGTGTCTCCTCCAGATATGTATCAACTACAGAGGCCTGTATTTGTCCTCCGTTTTGAAATCTGGTATAATTATCCTATGTGTTATAAATCCTAACTTCTTTGAGATTAATGAGACAGAACTAGTGGAAGTTATGTTGGTGGGGCAGGATACAATGACACGATGAGGTTGTAGCTTTGGTTCATTCTCCTTTGGAATAAAAAAGCTTAAGCAAGCAGAGAGGAGAGGAACCAAGAAAAACAACTCCCTGTAGAGTGTGTCCTTCGGACACAAGACCCCTGAGCTGGAACCTTCTAGAAGAAGGAGACACACAGAGAAATTGCCTTCCCTTGGAGATGAAGCTCTGAATCTGGGTTTCTAGTCTCCTAACTGGTGAGGGAATTGATTTCTCTTTGTTAAAGCTACCCACTTGTGGTATTTCTGTGATCACAATACTAGATCACCAAGATAGCACATCACCCAAATTGTCTGGTGTATCACCCACTCACCTTCGATCAGGCTAAAGAGCAGCGTGAAAGGGTTCTTCCTTGGGGAGAGGTAGTCCTGGAGTTTAAGGTTGAAGATGAAAAGTTTCACTTTGGGCTCAATGGTCTAAAAAAGATAAATGCCAGCCAGTGAGCCAGAGCCGCCTGCAACTTGTCTTTTGAAAATAGGAACAGCTGTTCAAAATGAGGAGCTATAAACACTCAGTGTAGCTTTGGGAATGACTTCCAAGCATCTCAAGTTGATAAATAGAAAGTGACTGGAGATTTTGAAGAAGAAAGCACTATACTTTTCAATAACACAGGTCACCTTCATCACTCACCTCCATGGAGTTACGTTCAAGCATTCCTTCACCTCGGGTTTAAAAAGCACCTCTTTGGCCAGATACGTGTTAGGATCATGACAAGACAGTTCACGCATGTAAGGAGCCCATACTATTCAAAGAAGCTTAATCCAGGCACTGTCATTACAATATTTATGGAGGAAATGATACAAAGTCTGGGGGTTGCTTCAAAATAACCCACTGGGGTGGGGGTGAAGCAGAGTAGAGAAACAGATGAACCAAAATCAGCCATGAATTGGTAGCTTTCTAAGCTGAAAGTAGCTTCATGGGATTCATTATACTTGTATCTCTAGTTGGGGGTGTGTTTGAACTTTTTCGTAATAAAAACTTTAATAGCCCCCCCACACCAGGACAAAACATGAAGGGAGCGCAAAAGAGCAGCTAGGGGAGCAAAGCAATGAAGTCCCTGAGGAATCCCGAAATAGACTTCAGACTCGGAGGGCAGGGCTTGGCAATTCATCAGACTTGATCGGAAAACATCATAAGGGTCAGCAGACAGACCTGGACTATTCATAGGCCCTTTCCCTTCTTCTTCTTTTTCATGTCTAGCTATGGAAGATAGGCAGTAAATAATCCCGAGGAGGAAGTAACAAGACCAACAGTTCCAGGGGGACAGGAGAGGGGGAGAGTGGGGAAGGGAAAGGGAGCCAACAGACCCAGGGACAGGGGAACAACAAGAGATCTAAAATAGATGGAGAGGAGGGTATAGAATGCCTGGTGGGGTTCGAGCAAGGGCAATGTAGCCAAGAGGAATTACTGAGAGCCAAATGAAGGTTCAGCATGATAGTGGGACAGGAGGAAAGTAAAAGGAAATAGAGGAATGTCCTAAGGTGAAGTCAGCAAGTCCTCCGACTGCTGTTGGGAGTTCAGTTGATGCATTAGCCGAAACATTAAATGTCTTATAAGCTCTAGGGAATATTCTCCCTCGATCATCAGTGTAGAAAATGACAAATTACCTGTAATTTCCTCAGCTGCTGCGGTAAAGTCGTCTCACGTTGGCATTCATAGGACAAATCAAGTGAGAGGAAATCGACTGAGTCCTAGATATAAGCAAATAGAGTCATTAAAGCATAAGCAATTTAAAGACAAAATGCTGCTCAGAAGTGCTCCTTTTTGTTACTGCCCGTATTACTGAACTGAATCTTCCAAGGTGGGAGTTTTCAAGAGACAAGCTGGCAGGCAAGAAGCTAGAGCAAAGTGAAGACTATGAGTGTGTGTTGTGCAGGGAGTGGAGGCAGGTTATCTGGGTACTTGGGAATATGTCAGCTATATATACGCTCAGCAAAGTGCTGGGTGCACCATAAGCACGGGATAAATATCTATGAGTGACTGAGTGAGGCACTGTGTAACAGAAATGGTGAGTCCCACCGATGTGGAGGACCAGCCTGGCCTTCACAGCCATCTTGCACTTTGCCAGGACCAGTCTACGAAGCCCTCAGCGATCCCCGGACTTCACTGTGATCGCTGCAGACTCTAATGGGTTTGGGGCTTTTCCATTTCTGTGATTTCCTTTTCATTTCAGGTCACAGTCATGGCTGTTTCCAAGCCATCATTTAAGGTTCACCACAGTGACTCCCTAGCCTGACCCATTCTGTTAGCTGAGAACACAACCTTCCCAGTCCTACCCGTGAACAACCTTTCCTCTCCCATCTAGTCTCTGGACATTGAAGCTTCAGGTTCAAATGTCTAAACACATAAAAATATGACTGCAATTCACTGGCTGCTGCCCTGAGAGGCTGGCTGCTCCATTTGTATTCTTGTAGGGTTAGATCATGGCTGTGGATAATGGCAGGTGGGGAGCGCTAAGTGCACTGTGGACTTTTGAAAACTGATTCACAACGGGCTCCTCGTCAAGTTATCGCCAGTGTTCACTAAAGGCTCAGCTTGCTTTCTCCCCTTGCTTGACCCTGGCAGTCAAAGGAAAGCTCCCCCTCCTCACCCACCCCAGCTCTTGCGTTGGTTGGTCAGTTCAGTGCAGCACACTGAACTTCTGCTTTTGAAAGTCACTGCTGGGGATTCAAGTTTAAAGGTGAGTAAGATTCTCTGTGTTCATTGCATGACTTTCGCTAGTAGCCAAGATGTGGAAACAACTGAAATGTCCACCGACAGATGAGTGGAATGTGGGGCATACAGACAATGAAGCATGACTCAGCCATACAAAGAATCGAAGTCCCAGTGTCAGCCTGGATGAACCTGGAAAGCATGCTGGGTGAAATATCAGTCACTAAATGACAGACAATGTATGCATTCGCTTATATGTAATGAACAAACACAGAAATGAAAGATTAGCAGTTACCAGGGATAGAAAGGTGAGGGATGAGGAAGTTTTTGCTTAGGGGTATTGAGTTCATGTTCATGGTTGGTGGAATAATTGGGGAAAGAAAAGTAATACTAGTTGTCCAACAGGAGGAATGTACTGTAATCAATGTCACTGCATTATACGTGTAGAAATTGTTGAAGTGGCAAATGTCTTCACAACACACACACACACACACCAAATCCACAGAAACTTACAATCTAACAGTGAGTGTTAGGTAAATATGATTATACTAAAAGAAGGCAGACAGAAGTTTTGTAAGAAAAGTAAAAAGAAAAAAAGAAAATCTAAAACAGCGATTCCTCCACCTTGGTGGGGATTAGCCTCACTTGGGAACTTGGAAAGACTGTAAAGGCCCAAGCCCTCCCCACATTCAGCTTCGGTGTCTGTGTGCTTGCTCTCGATGGGATCCTTGTATAGAGCCAAGCTTGGGAACTGGTGGTCTACATGGCCATGGGGCTCTGATAGGGAAAAGGCCATGTGAGGTAGAACGGGGAACTGTGGTTAAACAGGACCACTTGATGCAAAGTGCATTCACATAGGCATTGAGAAAGGGGTAGAATTGTGTTAGAAACTCTGCAGAAGGCAAGGACAGGTGGGAAGGACATTGGGTAGAGAATGCAAGAAAGCAGGAGGACAGTAAGGGGATAGTAGGAAGTGAAGCCAAAGAGAGCGAGCCACACTCTGGGAGACCCTGGAGAATTTATACCAATTCAGGGATGTGTACTCTTGGAAGATTGATCCGGAAGCATTGTTGGAGGGGGATTGGGGCCGAGAGACCAGGCCAAAGGCTGTTTGCTCAACAAGCAGTTTTCTGGCCAGCACTATTAAGCAAACCTACCAAGCAGAACCCGAGTAGGTCGCTGATAGTCCTTATCTCCCCCTTGTAAACTTATTTATTTATTTTTTAAAAGATCATTTTATTGGGGGCTCTTACAGCTCTTATAGCAATCCATACATCAATTGTATCAAGCATATCTGTACATATGTAGCCATCATTTTCTAAACATTTACTTTCTCTTTGAGTCCTTGGTATCAGCTCCTCTCTTTTCCTTCCTCTCCCTCCCACCCTCATGATCCCTTGATAAATTATAAATTATTATTATTTTCATATCTTTAAAAATTCATTTTATTGGGGGCTCATACAGCTCTTATCACATTCCATACATCCATCCATTGTGTCGAGCACATTTGTACATAAGTTTCCAGCAT